AAAAAAAAAAAAAAAAAAAAAAAAAAAAAAAAAAAAAAAAAAAAAAAAAAAAAAAAAAAAAAAAAAAAAAAAAAAAAAAAATAGTTCACCATTTGTAACGGCCCAGACCCAACACTAGCAAATATTGTCCTTTTTGGGCTTTCCCTTTCAGGCTTCCCCTCAAGGCTTTAAAACGCGTCTGTTAGGGAAAAGTTTCCACACCCTTATAAAGGGTGTTTTGTTCTCCTCCCCAACCAATGTGAGATACCATAATCCACCCTCCTTTAGGGCCCAGCATCCTCGCTGGCACTCGTTCCTTTCTCCAATCGATGTGGGACCCCCACTAAATCCACCCCCTTCGGAGCCTAGCATCCTTACTAGCACACCAACTCGTGTCTACCCCCTTCAAGGAACAGCCTCCTCACTGGCACATCGCCCGGTGTTTGGTTCTGATACCATTTGTACCGGCCTAGGCCCACTGCTAGCAGATATTGTCCTCTTTGGGCTTTCCCTTTCGGACTTCCCCTCAAAGCATTAAAACGTGTCTGCTAGGGGAAGGTTTCTACACCCTTATAAACGGTGTTTCATTCTCCCCTAACTAATGTGGGATATCACACCATTCAAAGGAGGATTAAGCTAAACTTTCATTCCGTCTATGGCTTACTTTTCTAATTGATCTATCTTTTGGTTCAAAGGAACAGTACATAATTTCATATTCACTTAATTATTCTTCCAAACAAATGAAATCCACTTAAAAACGAAACCGACTTCCAAATCCATATTTTTACATGAACAGAATCAATTAAAAACATCAAAATCAAAGAACAAAAGAACAAGGATAAAGATGTAAACAATTGTTTATCTTGTTCCTTCACTTTACCTCCAGATTCTTCCCAACCTAACAAATTGCAGGCAAGATCATTTAAAAAACGCAATCCTTACCGCTCACATTCGCTTGGCAATAGAGATAAGGGATAATGTCATAAAGAGACGAACAAGAGACAGAATCAAACCAACAACGCATGAAAAAGAAAAAGGAAAAAAAAGGGCACATGCAATAAACTACTCACAGGTCAAATGCAAATTCAATCAACAAAAGCATGAAGAATAATAAGAACATTGGACGATCACCCAATTACAGAAAGAGCATTTAAGCTCCAACCCAGAAAGCAAAATCAATAACAGAACCCAAAACTCAGTCCCTAACAATCCAATCCCAAAATGACATAGCAAAATCAGGGGGAAAAGGGAGAATTAGGCGCAACCCACCGAGATTAAACGCAGGCTAAGAATATTCAACTCGAAAAAGCCTAAGATAAACTTAGGCTGAGCTTCGATTGGAAGAGGGTTAGGTTTAGGGCGCTGTGTTCTTTGGATTTTGGGGGGTTTTACGAAATGGGTATTTCTGAAACGGGTAGAGTGATGGTGAAAAGGGAGGAGGAGAGGGAAATCTAGCAGGTGGGGACTTTTTAGGATGAAAAACCGGTTATTTTCTTTATCCCGTTTCGCTGTTTTTTGGTTTTTTAACTGTTTGGGCTCCAATGGAAGAGGGTTTATGTGGAAAAGTGGTGAAGAAGTAAACGGAGGATAATCCAAAGACGCGTTTCCTGCGGGTTGCCGCCGTCTATGATCCGAAATGGATATATTCGAGATCAAAGTGTGGCTCTACTTTCTTTCTATTCTCTCTTCACCTGTTTTCAACGAATGTTCTTAAAAGGATTTGAAAATTTTTCTCTGTTAGACTTTAGAGATTGAATCCATTTCTTTCTTTCTCTAATGAAATATCACTTTTTAACTATTTTTGAAAAATATTCTCGTGATTAAATTAATAAAAATATTCTGAACGGAACAAAAAAAAAAAATTAAGTTTTTAAAAATTTCAATAATAAGCTTAAAAATATCTTTATCGTTAATTTTGAAGGGAACGGTTAATAATTTATTTTCAAAGTACCATTAATAAAAAGTTTATAGATAATTTATGTGTCAATAGACGATTTTCGTCCATCTATTGATGATTAACTGTAATTTTGTTTAGTTCAAAACTATTTCGATCCAAAACTAACTATAAAAGTATTTTTAAGGATTTTTTTTCTCAAAAGTTTAAGTGTGTTATAAAACTTTTGAGACAGATAACCGCGCGTAAGGATATTTTTATGAATTTAGCCTATCATTTATGAGTTTGATGAGATTTGTTCAATTTGTCTTGTGTATCTTCGACAAAGTGGCTTAATATGAATTCGATTGAAGCGAAGCTAAGAAAGGAACGACATTCAAATTTAGAGTCATTATTAATCTAAGCATATCTCAACTTTTGGTTAAGGTTCGATTGATCATCTCACATTTAATGTGAAAATCCGAGTAAATAAAGGGAAAAGACTTGTACGGCTTTATTCTTTAAATTTGTACGTATCGTATTTTCTAACTTGTCTTTTACACTAACACATTGAAGGTATACCTGTTTTGCACGTGAATTGGATCGTCCCTATCGTTATACCATCCGTTGGGACCAAACGAAACCGTTATCAAATCTCAAGGACTAAAATGACAATCAGCTCAGCAGATTCATAATAATAGTGTCACCAATTCAGCTAAGGATCCAGCATCCACTCCATATTTGCTCTCTGCTAATCTTTTTAGCTCAATGAGATAGCTATCCTACCATTCTTCTATGCACATACAACATAGGATAAGAAACAAGAACATGTTTTATTTGCTTTTTAAGGTTACACAAGTTCAAGAACAGTCTTTCTACAAGTCAACATTGGCTAACAGCTTGTTTGATCAATTGGAAAAAGCAAACATACATGTTGTAAAAGCGATATATCCGCAATGGGAAAGGACTCGGATCTCTGATCAAAGATTTTCGAAGAACCGGAGGTGGTCGTCGAACGACTCGCCATGCCTGATTTTGGACACTGATCCATCTTCTTCAACCTAAATTCAAAGAATCAAGTTTTTATAACTACATTTAAGATCAGAGCAATCAAAATGAACTTAGCTTAGCTTAGATTTCCTAAGTGGCATGTTAACGAGGCAGAAGCGACATACCCAGTACTCGGGAGGGCGCATCTTGAGATTGTAAGTCGATGCCATACTCATGCAGTAAGCACCAGCATCATGGACAACCAAGCCAGCCCCCTGCAAAGAAAGTTTACCCGCCCGTTATAAATCACGTTCTTATATTTTCTTGGGATATTACAGAAGTATCACCATGGCCACGACTCGTGACCGGTCCCTAGCAGGATAAGATACTACCTTGGTTGGAGTTGGGAGTTCCCTTTGCTTCCCTAAGAAATCTGCAGACTCACAGACCGGACCAACCACATCGAAAGTTGAGATCTCGGCACCAGGCGATGCAGGGGCAACCAACTCTATGTGCTGCATCAAATACCAAGTCGATCTAATTATCGCCACGAATAAGTACTAAATGGTGTATTTGGCAGCCTAGAGGCCCAAATTAAGTACTCTTAGAAAGAGTGTCATACTAATCATAAAGCGAAGAGCATATTGGAAACTAAGACATGATCGTAGAAAAGAGTTTGTTCATCTCCAAGCATGATTAGTATGTCTAACAACAAGATACAATCATTCTAGTGGAATACTTACTTGATAAGCATCATAAAGACTAGGACGGATAAGTTCAGCCATGCTTCCATCGATTACAATGAAGTTTTTCGTCCCGTTAGTTTTTACCCCCGTCACTCGATTAACCAAACAGCAAGTATTGGCGATAAGTGACCTCCCGGGTTCAATGATTAGATTAAGATCTCGTGAAAGGACCAGCTCCCGTACCTGTATTAGCAGCCACATTTGAGAATGTTCACAAATCATATTATAATCCTCGACAGGCAAGTTACAGGCCCAAAATATTTTATTTGTTTTCAACCCAATGGCGATAATTTATAACGATGTGCAGACAAATTAAATTTGGTGACACTCCGTAGTAAAAAACATAAAAGAATAGCTCGTAGAAAAGTGTACACTCCATGAAACATCAATATGGGAACCATACCACACGAAGCATAAGGATCGACATGGTAATATGTGTTAGGAATCACAACTCCTCTATAATGGCACGATATTGTCCACTTTGAGCATAAGCCCTCATGGTTGGCTTTTCTTTTGGTTTCCCCAAAAGGCCTTGTACCAATGAAGTTGTATTCCTTACTCTTATAAAATCATGATCAACCCCCCTTAATTAGCCGAGGTGGGACTTCTCTCCCAACAATCCTCAACAATCCTCCCTTCGAATAAAGTACACCACAGAGCCTCCCCTGAAGCCTATGGAGCCCTCGAACAACCTCCCCTTAATCAAGGCTCGACTTTTTCTCTGGAACCCTCGAACAAAGTACACCTTTTGTTCGACACTTGAGTCACTTTTGACTACATCTTCGAGACTCACAACTTCTTTGTTGGACATTTGAGGATTTTATTGACATGGCTAAGTTAAGGGCATGACTCTGATACCATATACAAATCATAACCCTCCACACAATGGTATGATATTGTCTACTTTGAGCATACGCTCTCATAGCTTTGCTTTTGGTTTCCCCAAAATGCCCCATATCAATAGAGATGTATTCCTTACTTATAAACTCATGATCAACCCTTTAATTAGTCAATATGAGACTCCTCCCTCAACAATCCTCAACAATATGAACTACAGATTCATTGACGGGGTAATATGAACTATAGCTTCATCTCATGCATCAAGCAATTCAAATTTGAGTCCTAAACTACTAAGGATACCAAGTTGCCAGATGGGTCAAAAAGTTATTCCAACACTAAATAGTTTTCACATGACCAATATATTACTAAATCTCTATCAGCGTTCAACCCACGACAATAATTAGATCGGGTTAAACAAAAGATAAGTAAAACGGTAATAGAAAAACTATATTTAAAGTTTTTTAAAGACGGACCGTATTAATTAGATCTCTGGGAGTAGGAAGAATGGCACCAGCATGATAATAATCTATCCCAAGTCCACCTCCAATGTTTAGGTAGTTGACATCAAAACCTTGATCTCTGATCTGGTCAATGTAGTTGACCATTAGTTCTGCAGCATCTCTGAATATGTCCACCTACCATAAAAACAAATGATATCAGTAATCCAAGAAAAGGGAAAAAAAACCATATGGTATTACTCTTCAAAAAAAGAACAAAAACAAACGAAGAAGTATAAGCATATATAGGATAAAAGTAAATGACAAGATAAATTAAAAGCAACCACGAACAGTTCATGAACTTGCACAATTATCAGTATAGATGTTAAAAAGTTATAGCCACAGCTTATACAAGTTCAATACAACTATTTCATAATGAAAGATTGAGGAAGATGTAAAGGTTGAAAGCTTACCTTGGTGATGGTTGAACCAAGATGGCAATGGGCCCCAACAAGCTTAAGCTCGTCGGGATGTGCCTTGACAGCATCAAGAAACCATTGCAACTTTTCATTTCTAATACCGAATTTTGAGTTTTTGTTACCAGTGGCAACGTAAGGATGTACCTATAAGTAAAATTATACACAGCCATCAAATTATGGAATGATAACAATTAACTTACCACAAATTATAAACACAAATAGCAAAAATAGGTAGCTTCATATGTGCTTTTCAGTTGCAATTAGATGTGAAATAGTTTTCCTTTTCAAGGTTAGAACGCATTATTTTCAAAATATTGGCATTTGGGTGCTAACTACGGAGAGCAGAGTAAGTTTCAGATGGATTTTATGAGATCCCACATCGATAGGGGAGGTGAACGAAGCATTCTTTATAAGGGTGTGGAAACCTCTCCCTAGAAAACGTGTTTTAAAAACCTTGAGGGAAAGCCTGAACGAAAAGGCCAAAAAGTACAATATCTACTAGCGGTGGGCTTGGGCTGTTACAGATTTAGTGGTGAAAACTGAAAATGGAGGAATGCTATCATTGAGTAATGCATAAAGTGAGTAGTCAATTTGTTAACAACAAAGATAAAAGAACAGATTAAGAAAACATCGAATACTAAGGGGAAGGGAGGATAAGGAGGCATTCCTTTTTTATCTCAGTTAGGGAACGGTTAGAATGGCACGGCGCACCTTCATGGTAACATGATAATTGTTTGAGGAAATATTAACTGTAATCAATGATAAGATACAAGTTTTTTGGTCTAAAGTTAACTTCAGCAATAGGTATTCTTGCTCCTTTCCTGCATTATAAACTGAAATACTCATATTAGACCTTTTCTTATGCAAAAACTATGGTGTTTTAACCAACTTTCTTGCACTTGAACCTAGAGTGAATCACAAGGAATCCATCAAATAAGCTTTTGATGAACCAAATAGTAATGTTGAGTTAGAAGGTTCAACTTGACAACACTAGGCCTCCCTGTTGTACGACTCTTACAAGATGAGCAAGGAGCCAAGTGACTAAGTAGCAAGACCAAGTTTCCAGTTCGAGCATAGGAGGGGAAAATTTATTGAGTTGGGGGATTGAGGTAGCACTTGTATTGATGGAGTATAAGATGTTAGATCCCACATCGGTTGGAGAGGGAAACGAACATTCCTTAAAAGGGTGAGGAAACCTCCCCTAGTAGACACGTTTTAAAACCGTGAGGCTGACAACTATACGTAACGGACCAAAACGGATAATATCTGCTA